ATCAACAAAATTAAACCCAAACCCAAGCATACCACTGCAAGACTTCATGATACTATAAGCTCGTTTTGCGTAAATCGGACCAAAAATTAATATTAAAAAACTGAAGGTAGCCCGACTAACTATGACATTGGGACGTCAAACATCTCAGTCCCCCCCGTGACCATGGGCGCTGTAAAGCACCCGAAACGTCGGGATAATAATAAAAATAAATTAAAGTAATTAAACGCGATAAAATCCGTAAATAATAGTTTTATTCAATGAAATGACAAGTGAAAATGAAAAGCGGAAGTCAGTCAGACCTCCCTGCCCGAAGACAGGGGGGCAAGAGCTGTAGCGAGAAAGTGACTCACTGGCAGCCTCGACGCTGTTCCGCGTGAGCAGGACAGCGGAGGCGCGTGAGAGCGCGACAGCACTACCGTACTGTACGGGAGCGCGGACCACCAGGAGGCGACCGTCCGAGAGCGGTGCCGCCGGCGGACTGAGCACTGCGTCGGCGCTGTACAGCGCGAGCGGGACAGCGGGGGCGCGAGAGCGGGAGAGCACTACCGTACAGGAACGAAAGCGCGGACTACCTGGATGCGACCGCTCGGAAGCGATGCCACAGGCGGAATGTGACAATATGTCATAAAAAGTTACAGCCTATATACGTCCCACTGCTGGGCACAGGCCTCCCCTCATTTCTGAGAGGGTTTTAGGGCAAGGAAGTGTCCGCCGCGCTGCCCCAATTTTTGTTGTTGGCGAACTTCACATGTCTTCGAATTTTTTTTCTTATTTCTCAGGACATGCAGGTTTCCTCACGATGTTTTCCTTCACTGCCGAGCACGTGGTAAATCAACACTGAAAATTGCAATTAACTATTTCGTTGGTGCCGGCGGAGATCGAACCCGGGTTAATCGCGTTCTGTTATCGAGCGTTAACAGTCTGAGCTACCACGGCTCAATATGTCATGCTTAGCACTAATTGGCTATATTAAAATCGATTTGCTAATGATCACTTACCATTATATATACAGCTGTCATCATCATCATTACAGCCCTTCACAAATCCACTGATGAACATAGGCCACTCCTAAGGAATGAGACCCGTTTTACTGGAATCGAGGCATACCGTCTTAGTCCTCCGGGGTGACAACACATCTGCATTTTGATTCTTAATCGAATGTAGATGTCTATGGGCCACAGCATCCACTTACCATCAGGTGGACTGTGTGCTCGTTTGTCACCCTTAAAAATACTATAAAAAAATGCCTCAGAGCACGGTCCTGAGTCACCTGAATCCATCGACTTCCTGTATGTCTTACCAGGTGACCACTCCATCTAGTGGGGGGCCGCCCTACATTTCGCTTACCGGTAAGATACACTCGCGAACAATCCCCCATCCGAGCTATAATGCCGGCCCATTGCTACTACAATTTACGGATCCTTTGATCTATGTCGGGGATTCTAGTTCTACTACAGATATCCTCATCCTTAATAGGTACTCTCTATCACGCAGAGAAATCTCGTGCAAAGCTCTATCCATCACCAGCTCGCTGAGCGACCTAGAGCTTCCTCATAAGGCCAGCAGTGGAGGAGTACGTCTCAGAACCATCATTGACAACACGCACTGGTTGTATAATCTTGATTTAAAGTAATTGCATACAATGTTAATGAAATAAAACCTCTTCTGTACAGCTTAACTTTATTAAATATTACAAAGGCACTATAACATCGGTCGTGTAATACTGTTCCAATACATAAGATCTCGTTGCCTTTGGTCCCAGTTGGAAGCTATAGCGGCAAAGTTATTTTATTATTACCTTTTATATGAACGTCGCGTTCACTGCCTGCAGTGTAACTTAAGTAGATTACATAAAAAATGGCGCGTTATAAACAAATTATGATTTTATTTCAACGGAACTTTATTTCTGTCAGTTTTTACTGTAATAATCATTAAATTTTAAATTTCATTTTGTCCGCTCTAGCCTCAAACATGCCGTATCTTTGTGATGAACACTTAACTTTATTAAAACAAAACTAAACTGTCGCCATAGACAACAGTCTTCGTTTTCTGCAACAGATGAGAATAAATAAGATATTCCTAACCTACAGATGCTTAACAATTGCGTCTAACAATAAGTAAAATATAATAAGCAGTTTTTTTATTGTTTTTATTAATTATGTAAACAAAATATATGTTAGTTGGCAACTGATCATTAAGATAACATACAGTCGAAATGGTTGTCGAATTTTATTTCCCGCATCCCAAATATTCTTTTTGTATGATATTATGCATTTCAAGGGCGATACTTAGGGAACTTATAAAAAAACGTTAATATAATATTTTAACTTAAAACGATAAAATATGGTCTGCAACCATAAAGGTACATACTTTAAATTATTTACAAAGCAAGAATCTCTTGATCTGAGGGATACAACCCTATTATGTAAGAAATATATTTACTAAAACATAGTAAGGTGATTTTTTACAAAAAAAAAATTTTATTGATAGATTATTTGGGCGTGACTTGCTTCCGGAGTTCTCTTTCACACATAACATTATAATTTCTAAATAATGTTACAGCTTGCATATCACAACTATAAATTGTTTTAAAATAAAAATTAGAATTTCTGTTTCCACACTAATGCTTGTGTTAAAAGTAGAAACATAGAAGTAACAAATAATTTATAATTTTAATTATTAAAAAAGTGAGACTGTAAGGCTTCGACATCAAGCAAATGCGATAAAAATTATAAAAGAAAAATTTCTTTATCCCAAAACTTGTGGATAAAGTTTTTAAGAAACAACAATGAAATATTGATAGGTGAAATGTGACGTATAAGATTATAAAATATTGCATTGGAATGAATACAAATGCAAGATTAACAAATATTGGTCCTATAAAAGGAAGATAATTCCTTTTTCATTTAAAACTTATAACAAGTAAATATAATATACTTCTACAATATAGGTATGTATAATTTATATAAAAATATATATCTTTATTTGTATATTACATACATATGTGAAGAAGACAATTATTGTCCGTTTTTATTCACAAATTAATCTCAAATGCGACACACTACCTCGATTTAAATAGAAAATTATCACGGTAATAATATTAATTATTTAATATTAATTAAGGTTAAAATTATATGAAAATTGTCTGAAGAAAATGTAAACACATATCTATGCCAACACACAGTTTTTAAGGCTTACTATACTGGTAAAGCGTGTTATTTAGTTCAGATAATTTTTATAACTTTAACCTGAGATATAACCGACTATTTCGCTTTGTTGGCAAGTTCTAATTTCTTGCTAATGAGAACAAGATACTCCCGCTCTAATAATATTATTATATAAATGTATTAAAGTATATAATATGTATCACAAAATATAACATTTATGTGTGATAAATTATGCACCAGTGTAATATGTCGACAATTGTATTTACTGTATTTACACATAGCAAATATGATCCATAGCAACCTCTTCGTGTATAATGACATTATTTCATCCTACCTAACATCAATACATAGATTGTTTTTTTTTTTAATTTTATTTTATTGTAACTGTAGTTGCCAATCCTATTATAAAATAAGTCGGTTTCCTAAAGTTAAAATTATACAAATATTGTTACTGCCAAAAAAACTAGTTTTGGCAGTAATATTAGTGTAATTTTAAGTAAAAAAAAATATCTTGCGAAGCCAATTTGCGATATTTATTGAATATCTTCTTGACTAAAAACAAATGTTTATATTATTTAACATTTGTTTTTTTAGTTGGAAACACAAGTTTAAATGTATTCACTAGACACATATCTTTTAGAGCAATCTAAACCTTATATCAATATCATTAGGTTATTTAATCTCCTTTTTGAAAACAAAATTGAAAAATAAAATTGACAACTCCGGTTTCAACACTTTTCAGGTCTCATTTCGTAAAAAGTCATTAACATTTTTATTTATTTACTTTTTAAGTCTGTTTTGTATATGATAACAATTATTGAGACAAAATGTCACCAATTAATAAGCCTGTAGTACCAAATTCGGCGTAGGAGAAAATTATTTCTAAAACAAATGAAGAGGGCGGAAGAAATAGACTTAGGACTTGGGAGGTTCATACTATTTAAAATATTTAAACCAGTGGTTCTTAACCGGTGGCCTATAGACTACTGGTGGTATCTAAAGCAACTAAAGCGGTCCGCGTAGGCATCATACAATTCTCTCACATATAGAAAAATATTGTACGCAGAGAGGGACAGACAGAGGCTTCTGTACAATTTGCTTGTAAATTAAAATGAGGGGCGCATAATGACACCCCTTTTCACATTAATTTTTGTAAGTATGTTATATTTATAGAAAAACCTTTAAATCAACCATACCATTATATTATATCTAAAAGTTGGTGGTCCATAGCAAGATAAAAAAGCGGTTAATAGTCGCTCATATCAAAAAGGGTAAGAATCACTGATTTCACTTTTTTATAGGGGATGGGTTAGTGTATAGAGTCAATAGATTTTTTTTAACTAAAACTAAGGAATTTGAAGCATATGTGTATATTACTGAAGATGGTACGACAAGTTACAAGTGAAAAAATATAATACACATGATTGATTGAGTGAACATATTCTTTAATAGTTTGAATATAAGATTAAAACTATGGGTTGCTTTATAATAAATCTCAAACATGTGAAACACTGCTCAAATTTATGTTTCAAGCAGATATGTTAGATAAAGTTACGTCAAAAATTCCTCAAACGTGTGGAATATTACAAACAATTACACAGCAAGGACAGTAATTTGCTATTGCAAACTGCTGTGAGATTTAATTGCTATGAAAAATAGTGGTATTTGTGAATCGAAATAGCAAATAGCGATGTGATTATTCACATACGATATACGAAATACTCCATTTACGGGTTTTGTGGTGTAGATGACGGTTATATATGTGTGTATGTATGGGTGCGTGTATGTGTATGGGGGTTGTAAGGTGCAGGGGGAGTCGGGGGGGGGGGGGGTTCAATTCGCGTAGTGGTGGTGCGGCGCGGGCGCCAGCTCGACGTAGTTGGCGGGCAGCATGCCGGTGCGACCGGTGCGCAGCACTTCGCCCGTCATCCAGCCCTCGTCGATGGACGTCACGTTCGAGATGTAGTCACCCTCGCGGAATGAAACCTGTACAAAATATTACTTATTACCTTGCCGGGATATTAATACATTACCTAGGTAGGTGGAATTTTAATAAATCCAGGTTCAGAGCAGTAAAGTAAGTCCTCTTTTAAAGAATGATGAAACTACAAAAATACGTGAGAAAATTGACAACGTATTCATTACGCATTCCCCTAGAAGGTATGAAAATATTAGCAACGATTTTAAAAAAGGTGGAGGTAATTCAATTGCATTTATTATTTGATGGACATATTATATTTTAAAGAGAGAGAGAAAAAACATATTTTATTCGAAGAGAGCTGCAAACGATATCATTTTCTTCCTTTATCTGTTCGACATAATATTTATGATATATGTTTTTATCTAAAAATTTGTAATGGTTCAATTTACTCCCCAGAGTTATTATCTGATGTTACTCGAAATGTTCCAATAGCAAATATGAGGAAACGCAAACTTCTTTACATAAACGATATCATACGAACAATATACGTATTTATTTCATGATTAGAACCGCTTAATTTATAAACTCACTTAACTTTGATATCGATCCATTTAATACTTCTCTGAGTGTGGCTAAGAGAATCTTAACCAGTGAATATTTTGCCAGTGAATCTTTATATATATATATATATATATATATATATATATATATATATATATATATATATATATATATATATATACAATAAGTAACGTAATTAACGAACACCCTCAGACACCCCAATTAGTATATTACGTTATAATCATAATACATACACTGAAATTTTAGTTAAACATTTTTATGCACTGATTATTTATCAAATTAGTTATAATAATTCCGGAAGAATATTGTGTTCACAGTACAAATCCACGAACGCAAATACTTTAACGTGCTTGAAATAAAGTTCATTTTTCTTTATTTTTATTGAATGACAGATTTATTAATTTATTAATAATACAAATAAAACTGTACTCTTAAAAGTCTTATTGCCTTAAGTTACGGTCCATTTCAGTTTGTTTTGACTGTACAGATTTAGTGTGACTGTAATTTACGTTACTATATTAAAATATTTTGATAGGAATCGATTCAGTAAACGATTCTGAACAAACTACTTTCTCAAAGTGCGTTAATTATGTGTATATATATATATATATATATATATATATATAGTTTTTAACCTTAATATATTGTTTATCTGTAAACTGGCTTTGTTCATATGATTTATTTATAATTTTATAGTGGAAACTTGTAAATGGCTTAATAGTACATTATTATACTTTTTTTATTTAAAAAAATAAGCAATTGCTGTAAGTTTTCAGAATAAAATAAAATAAAAGGTTATCTGATATTGGTTTCATTGTAGTACTTCCACAGTCGATCATAAATTACGACGCGATATGGTAAAAATTAATGTACCTAGGTATATATTTTTTCATATTCGAATGGCTGTTTTAGAAAAGATAGATATATTACTGTGCATAATTATTTATTTTACGTAAATAACAGTTAATATGAGAAAATCAATCAGAACAAGAAAAATTTGAGGTATTTACTTTTTTCTTTCTGAGCCGTGGTAGTTCATTTGCTAAGTACTGGTCATTAAGTTTTAACGTTAACCCGCTAGCTCAGAAAGAACAGCAAACAGGTTAATTCAGCACTTGTCGAAGCACCACGCTCTCATAGAAAACCAGCGTACAACAGCAGCTTAATGCTGCTGTGTTTCGTATGCTGAGTGTGGAAAACCGGAGACCCTTTTTACTGGAAATAAGACATTCCATCTAAGTCCTCAAGGGTGGCAACGCATCTGCATTTCGATTTTGAGTTGAGGATGGATGTAGATAAACTATTAAATACATCATCCACTTACCATCAGGTTGATCGTGTATCTAAATAACTGTATGTTTTTGTAGGTTGAAACATTTCCGCACAAGACGGTCTAATTGAACAAATCATTTTATATACTTAAGTAAAAGTTACTCACTTCGTCGCTATCGTTGGCTTCATAGTCGTACATCGCTATATACACTCGCTGTAACAAATAATACAATTAATTGCGTTACTGATTTCCTCACGGACTAGGCGACCTAAATATTTAACCTACGTAACCTAAATTCTATCCTCGCCGATCATTACACTTTAAGAGGATATCCGCCCGGCGTTTATTCTATATCAACGCATTTCTCTGTATTCTCCTTGGATAAACACACTGGAGCAAATATATTTTTTTTTGTAATTTATACTTACGATTGTCATAATCAGATTTTTCCGTAAATTAAAAAAAAAAACAAAAGGAATTTTTCAAAATTACTAATTTTGCAAGGAGCACACTCTCAGAATACCAGCGTAAAATGGGAGCTTAATACTGTAATGTTACGTACGGTGAATGTAGAGATTCGAAGGCCACAGCATCTACTTACGATAAGTGCTTTGTGCACGTTTATCACTCATATTATATTTAAAAAAAAAAACTATTGAACCACAGAGAAACAGCAGCATCGATTTCCGTATCTTTTTTTTATAGAATAAGGTGACAAACGAGCACACAGTCCACCTGATGGTAAATGGATGCACAGCATCATCTACATTTATCCTTGATTCAGGATCAAAACGCGGAGAGCGTGGTCCTTCCGCGTTCGAGACGGCCTATTCGTGCTACAACCATAATATATGCCTAGCGTGGCACAACCACGTATAACGTAACCACGTTTCCTCTCATACTCTATATAGATGTCAAACAACAAGTCTCCCACCAGAAGCTTCTCGAGCGAGACCTAGAAATAGCACTCGGGCGAGTTTGTACAAGCACCATTAAAATCTTTAACCATACCTATATTGGTATGGTTAAGACACGCAAAAAATAGTAAAAACGCAAGCGTTTAATAAAAGCGAAATCGACTTGTAATGTTCACCGAGTCATGTGGATTCTTCTCACTCCAATTAGAGACTCGTTAGCGCAACTCAAGCAATTTTACTGACAGATAAAAATTAACGCCGTTACAAATGAGGGCTAATAATATTCCCGTTCACTAGATGTCGCTAGTTGGAGCCGAGGTGATGTTTTTTGATACACACACACACACACACACACGCGAGCACACACACACACACGCACACACACACGCACACACACACACACACACACACACGGCGCGCGCGCGCGCACGCACAAACGCGGGCACGCACGCACGAACGCGCACACGCACGCGCACGCGCGCGCGCACACGCGCACGCACGCACCACGCACACGCGCACGCACGCACGCACACACACACACACACACACACACACACACACACACACACACACACACACACACACACACAAATTTTATCAATCTCGCAAGTATCACATTATTACAAAAAAAATCAATGCCTCAGTGGTTTGCTCTTTAATTTTTTGCACAGGGTTTGCTAGAGAGGGCGGAGTAAAGAATTGGGGCTGTTGAGGGGGGGGGGGGGGGGTTTGCGTTGTATGGACGGGGTTTTTTTTTTTTCAAAGCTTTTTTCCCCGGGGCTTTTCTTTTTAGACATTTTTTTGAAAATTTGAAAGTTAGTCCGACTGGTGGTGTTCCGGAGTTTGGTTTATTCTTTTCTAGTTTAATTAATATAAAATATTCAATTTACAGAAATTATTACATTATTAAATATTACAAAAAGAAATATTAAGGCGACACCCCGACCAAAACCTTGCGATAGTGCGTTTTTCAGAGACTATTATCTCATTAGTTATGAGAAATAACCTACATTTAAAAGCACATTATTAATGTTCGACATCCTATCATCACATTCTAGTTCTAATTTGTTTTTATGCGTTATAAATACGTTTAAAATCAACTTTTAAAAAATGTCTAAAATTACTGATTACATGCATCTGTTGCTAAAGGCAACGCTCTAATCACTTGAGGATTACACTAATGGATAGATAATTTGAAAATCTATGTTATTCACGTTTTATTTAATTTATTAAGTTCATTTTTCTTTTTTAATTGAAAGATTCCAAAAATTTGGGCGTATTTCTTACGCGATATATTGTAGCGAGAGCGCGTGGATTGTATAGGATCGAACGCTCAAGGTCGTTCGCTAGAAGTAGCGCCTTAATCTCTACACTTTTCTAACAAATTAACTACCCCCTATGAAATCTGTCAAATATTTTACATTGCAAAATGGCGTAGCCCTGTTGGTAGAAATACTCGTAGATACCCTCATTTGAGACGTGTGATGACTGATGAGACACAGTCATGTTGCGTCGGTGTACGATCTGGGTCTATATTGCTCGCATAGATTCTAATTAGATTCAATCAAAGACTAGTCGGGGGGTATCGCATTTATTATAATAGTAATATGTTTATTCATTTCATTCTCTTATTTATAGAACAATGTTGAGGTCTTCTAGTAAATAAATAATATCGCATTAAAAAAAAAAACAAGTAGATAACCGCGGAGTTTCTTTCTCCTTTTCATTGCCTTATTCCGAACGGTAGTAGATTTAGTAGGTTAAAAAAATAATTGACAAACGAGAATTATTCGAAGATATTTCATTTTCTTCAAAATAAGAAGATATGACACAAAGATAAGGGCTGGATTTCAGCAGCTTACCTGGTTGGTGGCGTGGTGGTGGTTATTTGTGGGTCGCGGTTGCTCGGTAGCCAGCGGGTCCAGGTCGGTGACCCGACCTATTTGTCGACTTTGTTGCTGCTGCGCCTGGTGGGCACCTGTTGGGATTGACCATTGAGACACTTCGTTCGTATAATTAAAATGATTTTAATTTAAGTTAATTACTTAGGTAATTTTATATTATTATGTTACTTTAATTTTATTTACTGCAATAAAAAGTACCAACGTTTACAGACTTAACGAAGATAGTTAATTATATCAATTATATGTGAGATTTAAAAAAAATTATGATCTCTTCCTGGCCAATCAAGTTACATGGAACAATTTTAGTGTTTATGGTTTTGCATTTCAGTGAGGATGTAAGAGTATTCATTACCTTACGCACGGCGTTTTGAATCGTTGGGTCTAGTGCTCGTAAGCGCGGCGGCTGATCATGAGGTCCAGAGTTCGAATCCCGGATCGCGCCAAAATCACATTGGATTTTTTCTATGACGAATTTAGTAGCAGCTTAGGAGTAAGAACACTAGCGGTGTTTCACCCCGAGCCTCGAAAAGCATGTTAAGCCGTTGGTCCTGCGCCTGATATCTCTCTCCGGTCGTGACGGATATCCGTCCCATCGGACTGTGCTTGTGCACGCACTATCGACTTGTACAGCGTCCTGCGCAGATGACTGGTCTTAGTGATGACCTGACGTTGGTGTAACCGTGTAGAGGCTGTGTAGAAATATCCATTGCACCATATGGGCCCATGGATGGGAAGAGGCGACAGAGGGAAACTGAAAATTATAAAACTGCGGTGGAAAACCCGCCAACCAAGCGTGGCAACATGGCCCATTATGAGACAATCCATGAGGGACGGCCTATGTTCAGCAGAGGAATATAATAGGCTGTAAAGCCTCTTGTGCTATGCCAGATGCTAAATACTCAGATGTGGCGACGAAGAGTAGCGTCAAAGGTGCGAAACATCTTGAACTGGCTAGTTTAGGTATACTCTCAGATGTAGAACAAGAGTTTTGTTTAAAATATTTACACATATTCAGAAAACTAAAAACCTATTCAACGAAGGATTCGTTAATTAAATAAGATTTATAGATTTAAAATAATATATCTTTGTTTTTCCTTGTATACTGAAGCCTGGTTTTTTTTAAATAGAATATGAGCACTCAGTCCATCTGATGGTAAGTGGATGCTGTGGCCCATAGACATCTACATTTATCTTCTATTAAGAATCAAAACGCAGATGCGTTGTCACACCTGAGGACTAAGATGGAATGCCTCATTTCCAGTAAAAAAGGGTCTCCGGATTTCTACACACACCATACGGAACACAGCACTATTACGCTACTATTTTACGCTGGTATGCTGTGACTGCATGGTCCTTCCCCGGTCGAGCCGACCTATTCGTACTACAACCACAATATAGCTGCAGCATGGCTCTACCACGTATAAAACCTGTGAGGACATGTTTTCATATTTCATACCACGGTGTAGTTTTTTTTTATAAAACTGTACTAATAAAGGAACAGTCCATCTGACGAAGTGGATACTGCAGTACATGGACACCCAAGGAACACTTCACACAAAGAAGGCTACAGATGCGTCGTTGCCTGTGAGGACCAGGTCGGAATGCCTCACGTCTGTAGTTAACCTGGCTCTCTTTACCCTTCAGACCAGAACATTGTGTTCTGGTCTGAAGGTCTGAAGGGCAAGCGCTGCTATTTACCAGCAGAAATAAGAGAGGTGTCACCAACACCGACGGACCCCTAAGCAGGAATGGAGTAACGGAGTAACCTCTAGCACCTAACACCTAGTAGTTAACGATAGTATAGAATATTTTACAAAATTTGATATTATGTAAAATATTCAGTTTATACAACATGTAATAAAAACCCCTTTGGGTCCCGCTAAGTACGTTATCAGAATCAGTATTCAAACGTATAGAAATAATTTATTTTTTCATTAAGCTCGACCATTAAAAAGTTGACTTGCTAATTGTATGTGGTTTTATTACCACTAAATTTTCCGGAGAATAAGATTCTCAAAGACCCCGCTTTACCGATGCTCGTGTCAGTTAGAGATTATAAAACCAACAACCACAAGTTGCAAACAAAAATTTATTTTAATTAAATTAAATGAAATCGACAAAAAAAATTTTTTTGTTGTCGAGTTTTCCGAAATAATAAATTATTTCTATACGTTTGAATACTGATTCTGATAACGCACTTAACGGGAACCACAGGGTTTTTGTTACATGTTGTATATTAAGTTTATGATATGGCGGTGCAAACACAGAGTAAGTGTGTGGTGCCCTCAACCTTATGGTATAAGCATGACATGTTTACAGATAGTACACAATAATTAACATAAAACATAGAGTTTGTGAGTTGGAGAGGCGGCTGTTAAGAATTCTACACAATAAAGAAATATTATTTATTCAGGTCCTCTAGCTTCTAGTAATCTGAAGTTTTTGCAAAGAGATCTAAAAATAAATGATATACCGTTAACATTAGGCTATTTACGTTTAAATTTAACGCCTTTAGTAAGGAAATGTTCATGTCTTACTGTAAATACATTAGTACTATTGTTTATTCTGTTTAAATTGTGACTAGAATTCCGACACAATTTTGAGTTTAAAGCTGTGCTAGTAGATGATTTATTCATACTAACGGTACTGACCGAAGACAACATCCTCAAAGTCGAAAAAATAGTTCTGGCCGACGGAAGAACTAAATTGTGGCAGATTGCTGAAAAACTGCAGATTAGCAAAGAACGAGTTGGAGAAATTTTACATGAACATTTGAATACGAGAAAAATTTACGCGCGCTGGGTACTGAAAATACTCACACCGCTCAACAAGCAACGTCGACTGGCAAGTTGCAAAGATTTTTTGAAGCTAGTCGGCGATAACAAGGAACACATTTGGCAACGGCTAGTCACCGTAGATGAAACATAGATTCGCCAATATGATCCGGAGTCCAAATAAAAATCCATGTTACGGACAAAAAAAGAAGAAAGGCCGCCGAATAAATTCAAGGTCGAAAAGTCGGCGTCCAAGCTAATGGCGAGTGTTTTCTAGGACAGCGAGGGAATTTTGCTTATGAACTACCTATCTAGGGGAACTAAGATGAATGGCCACTATTACGCCAATTTATTGACTCAGGTTCGCGAGGCTATTGTACAGAAACGACGTGGGAAACTGACGCGCGGAGTGCTCTTTCTGCAAGACAACGCGCCCGTTCACACCGCACATGTTGCGAGACAAGCCCTGAAAGACACGAGTTCTCAGAGATTGACCACCCGCCGTATAGCCCAGACCTACCACCTAGTGATTTTTTCCTGTTTTCCAATTTGAGAACGGACTTACGGGGCCAGAGATTTGCAGATGACAACGAAATGAAAGCTGCAGTTGATCGTCATTTTGAAAAGAAAGATACATAATATTTTTTGGGTGGGTTAAAGGCATTTTATGTGCGATGTGAAAAATTGAGGGAGATTATATTGAAAAAATTATATATATATTTTCTTTCATTAAGTACCTTAGGCAACAGATTTATCAGCCGGCCCTCATATGTTCAAAATGAAACTTGATATTGACTTATCGTTATTAGAGATGGACTGAATATGGATTTCACCGAAAACGAATATTCGGCCGAAAGTTCGGTAAAACTTTTATCGAACCGAATATTCGGCCGAACATTATTCGGCAAGATCATCTCGGTACCTAACCAATTTATGTCGAAACTTGTTACCGTAAAGCGCACGCGCGGGATTAGCGCCGGACCCTGTCCCTCGCTCCCCCCGCCACACCTAACATGTTATTGCACAATCTAGTGCTGAGCAAATTACCGGCACATGCTTAAGTTTTGACCATTTTTGTAAGAAAAAAGTATTTCGTTCTGTTATTATTAGTGAAAATTGATATTTATATGATAAAAATGAGTGACAGGAGATCTACTAAGTAAAGTAAAGTAAAATGTAATAATGTAATGTAATGTTTCTTCGTTTAATTTCAAAAATATTTTATCAAGCTTTCTATTTGCCATAATTGGAATTAGATCTATAATGCCTCAAAAACATAATGCTATACAAGTAGATTTAACTCATAAATAAAATATACTTTCATCAGTAAAATTATGAGACATGGCATTACTCAATTCGTACATTTCAATATAGTGGACACCTTGAGTACCACTTTAACGAATGTTCGGTGATTTAGCCGAATATTTGGTCGACTAAAAATATTCGGTAAAGCTGCCGAATATGCCGAATACAGAATATGAAACGAATATTCAGCCCATCTCTATTCGTTATAACTCTGAAGTAATTTAACACAGCCATATTTTATATATTCAAAAGGCGTCGTTAGTTTAGATGGGGTACATTTTATGATAAGCATAATGCCAATATCAAAGACATAATATAGAGATTACTTAAAGAACATTTTTATGTGAGTGGTAATTATTTATTGATAATTATTGACTACTGTATAGTCGGGTTCTTAGTTTTTTACAAAATTCCTTGTAAGAACTGTTACGCGCTCAAGTCGACGGCACTAGCGCCATCTAGTCTCGAACCGAAGAACTAAACTTCTTGAAGTTTAAAACTCGAACTCTCGGTACCTTGCGCGTGTTTACTTGAACATTCTGGATATTTCTTTGCTAATTTATATAAATAGGCGCTGCAAGATGCGATCGAGGCAGTATTGGACTTGGCAAGACAAGCGAAGCTTCGGAGCGGAATAAAGTGACTTAGTGTGTTTAATTATTAGTGTCAGTATTGGATTTGGCGAGACAAGCGAAGCTTCGGAGCGGAATAAAGTGAATTAGTGTGTTTAATTATTAGTGTTTTAAGTTTTAATTTGTGTAAAGTAAATTAAAGTGTTAATTTAGGTAATTTTATCGGCAATTTTTATTGTCACGAACCTCAAGCTCGTAACAATTGGTGTCAGAAGTGGGATAAAATCATGCCGATTTTACCTAAGGAGGAAACGGAGGGTGTCCGTACCCGAAGTCAACGCCAGCAGGAGACGGACCAACGAAGATTTGGTGGTGCAACGCCGCAGACGTCGGAGGGCCAGCCACTGGCTGCAGGCCCGTCGGTAGCTCCTACATCTGCAGCACCTGACTTAGGTGCTCTGATGGTGATGCTGCAGGAGCAGGCTCGCCGACAGGAGGAGCAGGCTCGCCGACAGGAGGAGCAGGCCCGTCAGTTGAAAGAGCAGCTGCAGAGCGGACAAGAGGATCAGGCCTGCAGACAGGAGGAACAGATGCTCCTCATGAAGGACCTTCACGCTACCTTTGCGAAAGAGATAAGGGAGCTGAAGGATAGGGTTGCTCAACATGACAACCGCCTGTTGGAAGCTGAAACCCGAATCGAAGAACATGAAACCCGAATCAACCATGTGAACAATCGGGTTGACAAGGTGATGGCTGACGTGAAGAAAACGCTGAACGACCTCAAACTTGGGGATGGAACTACAGCTCCCGTAGTAGCTACAGCACCTTCGCTACGTGGATTCAAAGTGCCGCCGTTCGACGGGACTTCTTCCTTGTCGGCCTAAAAAATCCAGTTCGAGGCCGTCATGGAGGCAAACGGCTGGAATAAAAGCCAGGCCATGACTGCACTAACCTTAGGCCTGCGCGACCAAGCCTTAACCGTGTTGGAAGCTCTCGGTAAGAAAGTGACCTACGAGCAGCTCCTTGAGGCATTGGAGGCGAGATACGGTGACGCTCACCTGGAACACGTCTTTCTCGCGCAGCTTAAAGATCGTGTGCAACACAGCAACGAAAAACTGCAGCAGTGGGCCCTAGAGGTGGAGAAGCTGGTGCGAAAAGCATACCGGTCTGTACCTGCGCTCATTGAAGGAAACCTGGTGCAGACATTCATCGACGGCATCCGCGAACTGGAAGTCAGAGCTGCTGTGAGGCTCGGGCACCACGAGACGCTTAAGGACGCCTTGGCCCATGCACTGAAGGTGGAAGCCGTGCGGCAGGATCATCGTTCCCATCGCGTCAGGGAGGTTGCAGCAGCTACAGTTCGCGACCGCAACAAAGGATACAGCCCTAGGTGCTATGGCTGTGGGGAAAAAGGCCATCTTCGATCCAGCTGCCCTAAGCGAACCGTGGAAAGGAGAGTTGATCGATCTCGAGAGGGTAGTGCAGCTAACGGCACTGCCTGGCGGCGACAGGATCATCGTTCACCTCACGCTAGGGAGGTTACAGCAGTTACGGTTCGCGACCACAATAAAGGATACAGCCCTAGGTGCTATGGCTGTGGGGAAAGGGGCCGTCTTCGGTCCAGCTGCCCTAAGCACACCCTAGGAAGGGAAGGTGAACGGTCTCAGAAAGGAAGTGCGGCTAACAGCACCGCCTAGCAGCAGCAGGAATACGACTTTACTATCCGACACTGCAGCGGGAAATCTCACAGCAACGCAGATGCATTGTCAAGAAGACCTTGTCCTGAAGATTGCAACCATTGTAGTAGGCAAGAGAGTAAGGAAGTGGTATCCGTGAGGATGCTCAGGACAGACCACCTCAGCAACGGGTGGAAGGACAGCCTACGACATGCACAGCAGGAAGATCCGGACATCAAGCCAATTCTGGGATGGATGAAGGCCCGTGCTACCAAGCCTAAGTGGAGGGACGTCTCAGCGATGAGTTCAACCACGAAAAGCTATTGGGCCTAATGAGACAGCTTGCTGCTTCAGGATGGAGTCTTGTGCCGTAAATGGGACAATAGTCGAGGAGACAGTTGTCGTTTACAAATGGTTGTCCCTAAAGCTAAAGTGCCGAATGTTCTACAGCTGTGCCATAATGATCGTTCAAGAGTCCATCTGGGAGTTAAACGAACTCTACTGAAGGTCCGAGAACAGTTTTACTGGGTCCATTATCGTGACGATGTCGAGGATTGGTGTCGTACATGTACAAGTTGTGCGGCCGTGCGGGGACCTCAGACACGTAGTAGAGGACAGCCCTTGCCATTGCGGAGCCGTTACAGAAAGGCGCAAGAGGGACTCCTAAGATCGTCCATGTGGATCGCCTAACGCGTTATTATGGGGCCGATAATGCTCGGGACGAGCATGTCTTAGGAGGGGGCAGTGTTACGCGCTCAAGTCGACGGCACTAGCGCCATCTAGTCTCGAACCGAAGAACTAAACTTCTTGAAGTTTAAAACTCGAACTCTCGGTACCTTGCGCGTGTTTACTTGAACATTCTGGATATTTCTTTGCTAATTTATATAAATAGGCGCTGCAAGATGCGATCGAGGCAGTATTGGATTTGGCGAAACAAGCGAAGCTTCGGAGCGGAATAAAGTGAATTAGTGTGTTTAATTATTAGTGTTTTAAGTTTTAATTTGTGTAAAGTAAATTAAAGTGTTAATTTAGGTAATTTTATCGGCTATTTTTATTGTCACGAACCTTAAGCTCGTAACAGAACTATAATGTATAGCCACACTAGATTAATTTAAAGTAATATAAAAATATGTATTTAAACGTAGAATATTTAACAGCCGCCCTCGTAATGAATACAAACCTCTTTGCTTTCCATCCCTCGTGCTATTGTAAATCACAGTAGCTGAGGCGTGTTGTATGTTGGGGGGTGCTCTCGGCCCATCGCTGAGTGGGTCGTAATCCTGAATCCTGCCGATCTTCTGCTGATTATTTACCCCGTAATTCGGTTGTTGGTACTGTCCGTAGGCGTACTGATTCTGATAGTCGTCGTATTTTTGTTGTTGTTGGTACGCATAGTCCTCGTATTTCTGCTGTCTGTACTGCTGCTCGGATTGGTACTGCCTGGTCTGCTGGGCGGCTTGGACCTGTGGCTGCGGCGCTGGAGTCTGGTAATGGTTCTTGGGCGGTAGGTGGGGAGCAGCGGCCATGTTCGGTGGTGGTAACATTTCCGTGGCGTAGTTTTCAATTTGTTGGTGATAGTTGTCGTTAGTGGCGACATCTAGACGTGGAAGCGATGATGGGACAAACACAAATTAGCGATGTGGTGTGACAGTTAGCGACATTACAACATTGATTGCAAATACAGACAGTTTACGTACGTGAACACCTAGTGCTCTGTGATGTTGGTTTTTACTATCGAGCAGGATCTAACTAGAACTTCATAGTAAGTGAACAAAGAGTCAATTGCGGTGCCGGCACCATTAAAACTAATTCTTTATTTTTGTACTGTTTAACAATGTGCCCGGCTCTAAAGAGAAACGAGTACGAAAAATTAACACGAACTAAGAACAACATGGTGAAAGCTACAAGACCATCTCATAAATAAGATGTCTATGCGAGCATTGAGATATTTGTAGATTTTCAGGCAGATAACGACCGTTTTTAAATGAAACAGTGCCCCTTTACCGGCAAATAACCTTTATTTACATTTTTGCCAAAAGTATAAACTTTAGTAAACATAAAACAGACACACCCGCACCATTCTGCGTTCGAAAACTGTCTGATTTTGACCTTATTACAAAAATAGTTTTGTAAGTGAAATAAATGGAAAATGTTCGGAAAATTTTGTAAAGTACTACTACTACACGTGTAAAAATGTTCAATCTTAACAGACACTTTTAAACATTGTTTGATTTGTATTCATCACTGTTTACAGTAGAATAAATATTTAATTTATTATAATATGGTTCCTGACAGACTGGTGATGGGAACAGTGGGTGTATCAAGCAGACTGTTCGACGGCGTATGATATGGGCCAATTTTTCAAGTTCACATGCCTGCTGATATATATATAGATAGGCCTTCATTACGCAGTGGATGAAATTATGATTAGCATAATGTAATGTTTGAATAGTGCTTCATCAGTTCCTTGCTATTCTGAGGATTTATAAATCTTGTATGGACTTATTAATGTGTGGGACTTATGAACAAAAAGTATATGCCAATCGGTCACTTGCACAGTAATCGTAATAATAAGACAATAGAAGTGGGACAGACGCGTGACCTTGTCGCCGCTATGGTGTGTTCACGAACATCATTCACCATTTTGTGATTTAGTTGCGCGAAGAATGTCGTATGTAAATTAATGTTATTATAATATAGCATAATCACTAGTAAAAACTCATTAACGGCGTGTAATTCAACTTTTCATCGGTAAGATGATTATTTACTAATAATTTTTGTTTTAACTAATGTACATCTAGATAAATACTTTACTATGATATTTACCTTTGTAAACTTTAATTTATTACTTTTCGTATTGTACAATTACCATTACTGCTTTTGTCCTACCGTAATACGCGACGCACGCGACGTTGACAAACTCGTCAAGCAATGTAATGTTAACATTAGATATCATTGTGCATTGCGATGTTAATATTAATAAAACGGCTGCAGGCATTGGTCGCTTAATGCGTATGTGTTAAAATGTGGCGACATCGGTTTTGGAGGTATCGAGCGCTAATTCATTTCTATTGTCTTATTATTCTGTCACTTGTCTAGCATGTGGTAAAAGGTGACTAATGATACAATAGGTTTGTGATTGTGTAGGCGATAGAGAAGGCATCTGTCACTTTTTTCACAATTTTCCATCTAAACCCATATTTTTTAGCTGAACGTAGTCCGTAGTAGCTAGCTCCACTTTGGACTCGCCTACCCCCCCTGTGATTATAGGCGTGACCATAGACAGTCTATCTCGATTATTAAAGTAACGATAACAATGAATCAAGATAATATGAATGATATTCATTTGACTAAAGATGTCAAATTTAGTGGTTCTCATCCATGACATGATAAACAAACATTTAAATAAAACACAGACACACGTCCCAACCCGAAATACTATGATGTGACAAGTGCGAAATGGTAAATGAACGTGTAATAATGTATTGTGATCAAATAGAGCAAAAAAGATTATAATTCAAAACCAATTTACAGAAAGTTTAGCTTAACCGAAAATAGCTAGAATAGTTTTGCACATACAAAAACATTGGATATAATAGAAATATACTTGATAATAACGTTTGATTTCGCACTTTGTGTTTTGTGAACCAAAGGGTATATCTAGACATTTTTCTAACAAAAACCACTTCGTTACTTGAAACAGTAAATCAACTACCGACATATTTCTTAATTTAGTTCTGCACTTACCGACAAGTTCTCCGTTTTCATTCATCTGCCGCTGCTTCTCCATTTGCGCCTTCTTCTCCAAATCGCCGTGGTACGCTACATTACTTATGATTTTCGTATTCGCTTTAATCCTTAATGTTTCTGGATCATCCGCAACCTGAAATGTTAAAGAAATTCTAGTTTAATGATCCTCACAGTAACGAAGCTCAACGTGATCAAAAGATTTATACGTGGTACAGACACGCTGTAGCTAAATATAGAAATAACAGTAATTGTATATATTTTCCTTATACATTTCTTCATTTCTCAGCAATCAAAAATATTATTTTTACCTTTTTAGTAGTGTGGGTTTGCCCACGTTGGTTTTGAAGTAGGTTTTTATTATTTTAAAAAAATTACTTTATTTGGAAGAACAATAAGAAAAAAAAAACTTACATTTTCAGATGTTACTCTAGCAGACATCACAACGTACAAGTATATGCGCAAGAAAAACAACCCTAAGGTCCTAATGTGTGAAAAGCCGATATTATCGTTTCGTATATATATCAGTGGCGAAGCCTCTATACAAGCCCAAAAGCCCGGCTTGCCTCATTAAGATGAATTAATCAATTATATCAAGTAATAAAATAACTCGTAAACTGTTTCAAACTATTTCAAATTTCCCGCGCACTCTGTTCTACCTCGTAGCCTTACGAATACTGCTGTCACACATATAAGGAGAGTTCAATTGAGCCATTGGTTGTCTCCCTCGCACACGTGGGCTTTTTACCGGGCTTTCGAGAAGGCGATCGCTCCCTTTCTAACATGTGGCAAAATGTTCTATAATGAAATATAACTACGAAATGTTTATATAGCAATTAGTATGGAGATTTTTTATCTCCCGGCCCTTTAAAAAGCCTTTTAGTGACCATTAATTTTTTCCTCAGAGCGGGACGCTTTTAAAATTATTATATTTCTAACACTTTTGACTGCCTTCTTGGTCTAATGGCAGTAAACGCAATTGCTGATCATGTGGTTCCAAGTTCGAAACTCGAGTCGGGTCAAGAATCATTTATTGGGTTTTTCCGTCACAAAATTCTCAGTAGCAGTAGTATTACACTTATTGTATATGATAGTATTATACTTACATCTTTACCAAAATTCAATCTGGAACCCTTTAATATAGTTTTATAAATAAAACACATAGTTGTTTGAGTCTTTTAATGATCAAAAGTGAATTCTGAACATCAAATAAATACTAATTGGAAATATATTATGTTATTTGATAATTTATTGTAGATTAATTAAAAATTGTCACTTCGTAACTTTAAATTCAAAAGTGTAGCTTTTCAGAATAATCACGTAACTACACAAGCTATGCAAACCTGGTACGCGCGGTGTCATAATGATGGCACGGGTGACAGGGTTTGCATGATAGTTACGCTTTTGTTTGTCAAAGCGGGACATTTTTACGTATTTTGGGGATAGCGCGACACAACCTTTAAATCGAGAACGTCCCGCCTAAAGTGGGACGTATGGTCACGTTAGGTATGAAGTTAGTCGAGAGGAGGCGCGCGTCCGACGCCGACGAGCCGATGATATGTTAGCAAGTTCACGTCACATTTCTATGTTTAGTGTTTACATTGTGTCAAAAAGTACTTTGTGCACTGTGTGTTGAGCTTGAGCGAATGTATTGCGAGTTTAAAATTTATGCTTTTTAAAAGATTTTTAATGAAAATGGAGGGAAAGAGTGTTCCTTGTGATGAATTGAAGTGTGTTAAAGTGCTAATCGGCGAGGAAAAGGTAAAATCTTTAAACTTTGTTGAGATAATATACAAGGTCAAGAGTGTATTTCAGACTTATCAATTATCGCAATTAAAAAACAGTTATTGGTACAATTAAAACGTTCACCAACATTTTACGTGGACGTAATTAAATCTTTCCTTAAGAAAGCGAGACGATTCCATTTATCTTATCTTATCTCTTATCTATTAGAATGTAAATAATTTGTTTTTTATTTTTTTTTATTTTGTACATAGTTTGTTTGTACTTTGTTCATGTATTGTATTGGATGTATATTTTTTTCTTTCGCTTAAACAAACTCAAACGGCCTTCTTCAAAACCACCGAAGCTATGCAATTGCTGATATGTAATAAAAATAAAATCTATCTAGCAGTAGTATGCCTTCTGTGTGCATTGTTAAATACGTCCTTGACAGCACTGAATATGAAACTGAAGCGTGGAGACAGATGAAGATTGGTGTATTTTTATAAAACTGCTAAAAACAACAATTTATATCTTGGGCTTGCCCTAGTTTGGAGCTGTAGCTTCGCCACTGATATATATGCAGTGCTAATAACATACATAGTAAGTAAACCGTTTCTAAAGATTCTTTTAAGTTAGAAAAACATATACCTGTGTAAACTTGCCCTTACTCCTCTCGAAGTCGGCGTGATATTTGACGTTGCTCTGTAGTTTAGTGTTTTCAGCTATTCGTTTCAGTTCGGGTGTCTCTGCCATTGTGGTATGTTTCGCTTTTGGCACGTGCCTGAAATGTAAAAAAAATATTAAAGGTGCAAATATTACTAAAATTAAATATAACCGTCAAAGCATACCAAAGTTTATACGTGATAGAGCCACGCTGCAGCTATATTATGGTTGCAGGATGAATGGGTCGGCTCGAGCAGGGTAGGATCACGCACTCACAGAATACCAACATAAAATAGCAGCTAAATGCTGCTGTGTTTCGTATGGTCAGTGTAGAGAACCGGAGACTCTTTTTACTGAAAACGAGACATTCCATCTTAGTCCTCAGAGATGACAACACATCTGCATTACATAAAACTTTATCGCGTATAATTAACCTATTTTTTACTCGCGATGTTTCGGGTGCTTCACAGTACCCTTGGCCACGGGGCACTGAGATATTTGACGTCCCAATGTTATTATAGTTAGCCCGTCTACCTTTAGTATTTAGTATTATATAAATTTTGGTCCAATCTGCCGTGTAGTGGCGGTTGAGAATATCCACTACCACATATCTTCCCGTGGGTGTCGTAAGAGGCGACAGAGGGAGACAGGCAGGTGATGGGCAGCAGCATCTTCCTAATAACAACAATAACATAATAAAAAACTGCGGTTGCCAACCCACTCGCCAAACGTGGCAACTATGGCAAATATGGGGGATATTGACATGAGCAATGACACAAATAAACGGCCCCCAGTCCCCGGCGGCCCCGCTATTCCTGGCTACGGTGGCGACCATGGTAACGGCGGGGCAGGGGGTGCTAAGAATCTCCGGTGGAAGTTCGGTTGCCACCTACGTATAACGCACTGGCAACGTATAACGCACGCACCCTGAGGACTGACGAGAAGATACTGGAGCTGGAAGAAGAGATAGACAAGTTGCGCTGGCATATTATTGGATTATGTGAGGTCCGAAGAGAGGGGGAGGACACGGTAATCCTCGAGTCCGGCAACTTGTTCTATCACCGGGAGGGCGACCATCTGTCCCAAGGAGGTGTCGGATTTATCGTCCACAAGTCTCTGGTCAACAACGTTGTAAAGATTGGGAGTGTATCGACGAGGGTCGCGTACCTGATACTCAGAATCACCAAACGGTATTCGCTGAAGGTCATACAGGTCTACGCACCAACCTCGGCACATCCCGATGAGGAGGTGGAGGAAATGTATGAGGATATTTCTAGAGCCATGCATTCCTCCAAAACCCACTACACGGTGTTGATGGGAGACTTCAACGCAAAACTAGGCACAAGAGAAGGCGGTGAGCTGAAGTTAGGGAAATTTGGAGTAGGGCAACGGAACCGTAGGGGACAGCAGCTGCCTGACTTTATGGAGAAAGAGGGACTCTTTATGATGAACTCTTTCTTCCAGAAGCGGCCCCACAGGAAGTGGACCTGGTCGAGCCCCGACGGTTCGACAAAAAATGAGATTGACTTCAATATGACGACCAGACGCCAACTGTTCAGTGATGTCTCAGTGATCGCAAGGGTGAAAACCGGCAGCGATCACCGAATGGTTAGAGGCACACTGAACCTAAACGTTAAGTTGGAGAGGTCTCGTCTAATGAAGTCAACGCTCCGTCCCCCCTCGTGCTCTAATCTAGAATCCCGAGACTTTTCAGCTCGAGTTATGTAACCGCTTTCAGTGCCTAGAAGATTGCAATGCAGTGGACGATATGAATGACAAGTTCGTGGAAACTGTCCATGCGGTCGGAGCTAAGTTCTGCAAGAACCGCAGAAGAACACAAAAACTCTCCGATCACACTCTTAATCTCATGGCTGTTAGACGGAAGATGAGGCTGCAATCGTCAACAGATTTGACAGCATACAGGCAACTGAACAGACAGATCTCCAAATGCATGCGGCAAGACTTACGCAACTTTAATACTGCTCGTATTAAAGAAGCGATCGAGCGGAACTAGTGCTCCAAAGTCTTTGCCAGAGATCTGTCTGCCAGAAAGAGCCAACTGTCAAAGCTGAAGACTGAGTGTGGCAGCATCGTTCCCGGGACTACTGAGATTTTGAGCATCGTTGGAGCCAAACCAAGTGTGAGTAACGATATATTCATTATAAATTCCAGCACCCATGGTCCACGGGGGACCGTGACCATGGGTGCTGGAAAGCGCCCGAAACGTCGGGAATTAAAAATAAAAGTAAATAAAAAGTAAAAATAAACGCGATAAAATCCGTAAAAGTAGTTTTAATCATGTATAGTGTTCGCGTAAATATAATAAATCATTAAGAAAAACTACAATAAATAATTTATAATTGCTAGTGAGAATTTCTCGACCGAAAAACTACATTAACTAATTTATAATTGCTAGTGAGAATTTCTCGACAGAAAAACTACAATAACTAATTTTGACCCCAAGCCGGGATTCGAGCCCGGGACCACGTCCTTTGAAGTCGCCCTTACAACTACTACACCAATGAGGCAGTCACTTCTGCATTTTTACTCATATTGAAAATAGATTTTTATTGTTTTCAATTGTTAAGCATAACTTTTTTAAATGAGTTCAAAGGCATACGACCGTGAAGTTAACCTACTTATGATTACTTAATAAAAATTCATTGTCATTCATTGTGACATAACAATAATTACAATAAACAAATAGAAACAGTACATAAAATATATTCAATTTGTTTGCACCGTGCATAACAATTACGTATGGAGTAAACATAATGCCAAACTAAACTTTATGCTTTTCTGATATAAAGTTTATATTGATTTGTTGTTTGTGGTCCTTCAATGTAACACGATTGTAAATACAACACAGCAGAGTTTAGCTGCCATTTCACGCTAGTATTCTGTGAGAGCGTGGTCCTTCCCCGGTCGAGCCGACCTACTCGTGTAACAACCATAATATAGCTGTAGCATGCCTCCGCCACGTATAAATTTGCATTCAGTTTTTTTTTACTGATTATTACTGATGCAACAAATACACGATTGAATAGCAATATTCGTATTCGGCGAATACTAATCACGAATATTTAAAAGCTTATATTTTTGTACGCAACTTTAATTGCTAGCAGACTTCGAAAACACGCGTCGTCCCTTCGCTATCACTACGGACCTTGGATTGATTCATTAATTCATTTAACTGTCGAACGAAAGCACAGGTCAAGCAAGAGAGTATTGTTTAATTTAATTGTTTTGTGAGGTTGCTGCGGAAGTGAAAGAAAGAAGTTGAAGTTGAAATGTCTTCTCGTAAACGAGATCAATGTGACATATGGAAACACTTCCATAGATCATATCGATATCAGATAAATATAGGTACACATTGTCATTTACTTAGTAAAAGTAAAATTTAATTTCAAAATATTTTTTACAGGGGATTCGCAAACTAAAAACGAGATGCTTATCTAAATCTTCCAAATTTATCACCGACTGATGATACATTGGCCTTTTGGCGAGAAGATGTCCATTTTCCAAGGCTAAAAAACGCGCCCAAAAATATTTTTACTGAAACCATGTACAGTCACCTCTGAAAGCCTTTTTTTCAACTCCTGAGGATATCCAGACTGGTAAAAGAAATCGCCTAAAACCAAAAAATCTACAAATTTTATGTTTTTTTAAATAAAAATTTGCCTATTGTAAATTCTAATTATTAGAACAATAGAAAATCATCAAATGAATTAGTTATTTTTTAGCATGGCGAGATATTCCGTATTCGTATTCGCCGAATAGTAGGTTTGATATTCGAATTCGTATTCGTAAAAGCATCACTGCTGATTATAAACTAGTGCTTGAGTACAATCCCACCTACTAAGTAAAAGTAAGTGAACATGGAGCCCTACATGGAAAAATCGCACTATAGCAATTTTTTATTTGTAGCACGAATGGGTCGCCTCGACTGGGGTAGGTCCATCTTCTCACAGAATACAAGCGTAAAATAACAGCTAAATGCTTAATGTAGAGAACAGTCACTCAGTTTACTGGAAACGAGGCATTCCATCTTAATCCTAAGGGGTGACAACGCATTTGCAGTTTGATTGTTAATCGAGCATAAATCTAGTCCACGTTTATCAATGTAGTCTGTGGGCCCCAGCATCCACTTACCATCAGGTGGACTGTGTGTTCGAAAGAAAAATAGTACTGTGGCATTTTGTTGCAGCGGCAACGGATACGCAATTGTGTATACTTTATATAGTTTGTTCACTTTCATTTTTATTGTGTTATACACATTAGGAGCTAGATAAGTGGTCACATACATACACGGTATAGCATAATCGACAATGCCTCGTGTGCTAAACATAAAACCAGTATTCATGCATGACGGAACGCGCGAGCGGTTTCGTTTTCATTTTTAATAGAACGTGAGGTGGTTGGAAAGCGCTGTTGGGTACCTATTAGTAAACAATTTTCATGAAGCTTTTGTAGACAGTTGCTTTAATACATTTTATGGACATATGTCGAGAAGTTAGCGGCAAAAAACAATTAATGCAGAGGCCACTGCGCAACATAAGCATAAGCATAAACACTCACGCCTGTCACCTAGAGGGGTAGGCAGAGACCACGGACTTCCATTTGACACGATCCTGACATACCTCTTTCGCCTCCTTTACATCCATATATCTACGCATACATGCTCGTCGGTTAAGGGTACTTTTAACGTGGCCCATTTTCAAAATATCGCCAATTTGGTCGATAAACTTTTTTCTAGGGCGTCCCTTCCCGACTCTGCCGTTCACATCTGCCATATAAATTTGTTTTGTCACTCTTTCCTCATTCATTTTTTCCACATGACCAAAGCACCGAAGCATTCCTTTCTTAATCCTGGTCACAACATCATCTTGCATACCACATTTATCTCTTACTCTCTCACTGCGCAACATATAGTTAAAAATAATTACTATTTACTATACTTATTGATTAATTTTATGACTCATGATTGTGGCGTTAAACAATACTATGATGTCTCAAAAATCAACTAAAGGAAGTCAAGAAAATGGCAGCAAGATTGTTATTGCTATCTACAGATAAAAACATAATCTTCTTGACTTCTTCTCACATTCTAAGAGCTTT